TACATCTGTGTACAGTGGAGTCTGTGCTCGTATACCAATTGTGAAGGAAGCTGCATTCTGAGAAGCAGCAATTATTTTTTTGATGAGTGCATGTGTGTCTTTCGTGTAAACAGGGGGACAAGGTGTTATTGAAATCTTTGTATTCGCACATTGGAAACTGTAGTCCTAGAATACTGAAACTGTCAACAGCTTCTTTAAATATACCGAGAAGGTTATCATGTAACCTTGATATCATGTAACCGGGCACAATGGTTCAGCCATTGCTAAAAAAAAAGTTTTAAAACATCTGGGATCTGTTATGATGGCCTTACCATTAATATTTGACAGCAGAGGGTTTAATCTTCTGTGTAGAATTAGTAAAAAGGGTGGTGCAAGTTTTCTCTGCACCTTCAAAGAAGTCTCTGGTGCCTTTCAAAGATGAACAGGCTGACTTGCCAGCCAGGATATGTGTAGTTTTAAGTTATCATCAAAGTGCACTTAAGAACTTATGTTGTTGTGACTATCAGAAAAATTGTAATTTGTTAATGTGCCTCATTATTCATAAAAAATAGGACATGAACATTGAAGGACCATATATATATATAGGTAATGTACTGTACAAGGTATATTAACTAGGTAAGACTGATGGGAAGCACTTTTTTTTTGTGTTAACAAGATCACATTCACCGAAACACTACAGCTGATCATGAGCACCAGCTCATGGTCCGTAAAGTCATAAGATTGAGGTTCCCACTTCCTAACTCTTTCTAAGCAGAATTCAACTCTCTTTGTATGCAATCCAGTGGATTTTAGGTTCCAAGTCAACTTACAATATTGCTTTTGATTGCAAGCTTTTTCTTATACTTACAGTAAGCTAGAATTCCTGCAGCTCGAACCTTAACGCAGGTCCTTTGAGTTAAAAATTCAATTGACTATCTTTTGCATAGGATGTGGTCTGGGGTTAGTTTCCTGGGTCAGGGTCCATATAAGGATTTGCTGGCAAGGTCATGCCAACCGGGGGGTGAAGAAGCCACTTTGTTAATGCTCACAGATATCCTAGGGTGTAAAGAACGTACAGGGATAAGACTGATGCCAAAGGTGAGGAAAATGAAATACTCCGGTTTGTCGTTCCTGCTTGTTCAGAGCACCGGAGTGTGTCTGAGCGCCTCTGGCTCTGCCGTGCTGCACCTGTGCGATACTGGTGCGAGGGGACAGCCCCTGGCACACCAGGAAATGGGCATTTCTGACCCAGAGCCGGGCACAAGGACCTGGTGGTGTTGGAGAGACCAGATCCTGTAGTAATTGCCGTTTCTGAGGTCCGGTGTGTATTCAGACTGGGCTCTGCTTCCATAGGGTGGATCAGACAGTAGTAGTAGAAGTAGTGTCCTATTTGCGCAACTCTAGAAACAAAAAAGCAAACTTTCATAGTAATGATCTGCACGTTAATTAATTTGAATTTTTTTTTGTATTCACACTTTAAGCCTCTGAGGGACAGCTTTTGCTTTTTAAACCTGTTATTTAGCAGCTGGTGCTTCACTGTCATAGTTCTTTTTCTTTGAATTCTTGATTTAAAAGTCAGAAGATTTTATTCCTGAACTGTAGGTTTGGCTGTAATCATACTGTATTTAAATGTCATTTGAAGTGGTTGCAGTTCTTATTTGTCCTTGTGCACTTTGGTTTTCCCTGAAAGAGCCGACATTCCTGCGTAGTTTTAAATTTCTCATTAAATGTTAAACTCTTGATCCTTTGTTTCTGAAAAAGCCGTATGGCTAAAGTATCCATCCTGAAGAAATTTACAGATGTGCTCAAAAACAAAGACCATCTGATTTGAAATCGATTTTGTACTGTTTGCAGTGCCTCTGTATTTTGAAAACGTACACTAAGGGGCGACACATTAAGGCCTTGATTTGTGTAAAGGCTTCTCCCCGCCCCCAACAGCCAGAAACCATAACAAAGATTATATATTTAAATTAATTACTTTGGGCTAAAAATACTAAAAGGAGCCCATTTTTGTTTCACAAACTGCCAAGAGCAAACGATGTGTATGAGGTTGTATTCTGAGCTGTATCTACCACTAGCCTAATGTGCAGCCCATGAGAACGGAGACAGAGGAACACAAGTTGTTTTTGCACATTTTGGCGAAATGGCTAAACTGATACAAGGATAAGTGCCTTAATCTGCTAGGAGAGGTAAAAAGATCTAGACAAGATGCTATTCATTTGTACCTTGTAATTAAGCTAGGAAGATGATGTATACTGAAAGAAATTTATATGATTCAAAATAAAAATCTGTAAAAAGCTCCAGTGTGTTTTCTTTGTGTTCAAGTGATGGTGTTTGTAAAGGTTTTAACAGTCGTTTTCAAGACCTGCTCTTGAAACGAGAGCAGCTCATGCAGTTTATTGAGCTTGTTTGGTCACTTGGTGGCTAATTGATGTCGCTTCTGCGGAGAAGCCGGGGTATCGCCGGGCCGCTTGTTCCAGACACCCACAACCCTTTGTGTACAGCCGTGCCTCCTGTTCTCGGATTCAAATGCACTTTCCACTCGTGTCGTCGGGTTAGTGTCGTACCGTTCGTTCCCATGATGTCCTCCGGGCTGGCGGTGCCTCTGTGAGAACTCTGAATGCGCAGATCGGATCTCTTTCGGCCCGGAAGTGTTGGGTTATTCCTCTGACTCCGGGGGGTGGGATTGAGTCTTGGGAGACCGGCGGTGGAATCATTTAATTCTGCATCTTTCGATTGGCTGACAGATGGCTGCCTCCCCCCACTTCCCCTTGGAGCCTGGCACCCCGTTTCCCATCCTAACCCCTCTTCCCTGCTCCCAGCCCATTCTCCCAATCTCATCACCCCCCCCCCTCCCTCATGTCCCTTCTCTGGGCCCTCACACCTGGAGAGACTCCCCAGCCGAAATGAAACTTCCATCTAGTTGATCCGGGTCACTGTTGGCCATATCATCCGGATGGGGCTGCACACTGGTGGTGGTGAAGGGGAGTCCAGAATAGCACTATCTGAGTGTCAGGGTTATTATTTATTATAATATTTCAGTAATGTAATTTGTGTGGGCAGCACAGGGGCCCAGTGGTTGGCATCGCTGCCTCGCAGCTCTGGGTTTGAGTCCCGGAAGTGCTGTCTGTGTGGAGTCTGTATGTGCTATGTTTGCACGGGTTTCCTCCCACAGGGCGAAGACATACTGGTGTGCTAACTGGCTTCTGATAAAACTGGCCCTAGTGTCTCCGTGTGCCCTGTGTTGGACTGGCGGCACAGCCGGGGCGTACCCTGCCTTGCGCCTGTTGTTTGAGGGCACAGGCTCCGGCTCCCTCCAAGCCTGTACTGGAAAAAGGGGTGAGAAAATGCATGGATTTTACAAGCATTTAATTCTGAGCCCATGCATGTTGTTCTTTCCTCGTTTTTCCTTATTGACTCCTACTCCCTCTGAAGATTCTCTGCCCTTCCATTCCAGTTTCAGGTATTGCTCATTTTCTCTTGAGCTCCTTGTCCCTAGCGGCCTCGGGTGCCCGTTTCATTCGGATGAAACCCGTCGGGTCTTTAATGGTGACCTCCGCCATCGGAAGGTGTCCAGTGGTGCTGCTAGCAGTCCTACAGAACAGGGGCGGTGTGCCGGCCTGCTGCGTCAGCACCGTCCCGGGGGCTCTCCGCTTGAAAGCCGAGACTGATGACGTTGGCAATAACCAAAAAAATTCAAAGGCCCCTTTCTGAGCATTTTACTTCCTCCCAGCATTAGACATGTTGGTATTGTGAAGAGTGTCAGCTTTGTAGCTTTTCGTTCAGCGTTTTAATGATAATATTCCAACTGGAACATTGGGGGGAAAAAAATTGATTCACTATTATCCCGAACGCACAATCCGCTAGCTGCGCCTCTCCGCCTGCCCTTTCTAACTGACGTGGTGTGGAAAGCGTACTCCTCTTTCCCCCAAAGTTTCCAAACTAGAGGAACCGTCCATTTTGGGATTCACAAAAAGAGTCGTTCAAAAAAAAAAACCCGATTATTCAGATTTTGTCTCGTTTTACATTAAAGATATATATAAACTTTCTGGCGCCCAGACTTTATAAAAATGAATTGGCGTTTGTAAAAGTCAGTAAGTTTTCCGAAACCTCGGCAGGCGGATTCGTTTATTTCCCTGATTTGCGCCAAGGCAGGGACTGGTCTTCCAACGCCGCCCAGAGTTTAGGAAGGAGAAATACGGTACGGGGTTTGGAAACCTCAAAATGCCTAGTAATGAGCTGAAACAAAGGAGGAAGACGACGCAAGGAAAACCTCATGAGCAAACGACCGAGACAAAACCGAAGGCCGAGCCGGGGAAAGGGGCTGATGAGCCGGACCGAAACAGCCCGACGAGCGCGGCGTCTCCTCCGTCGGCTGTGGACATCAGGACCATAACCTGCCTGCTGTCCCTGGCGGTGTGCCTGGTGCTCACTTGGTAAGGTTGCTTTCTCGAAAACGTTTAGGAAAAACAAAGAAACAAACAAGCGGATTCGATCCGAAACTTATTTACCGAAGTGCTTTTCTGTAGTGGGAGATGACAACTGTATCGTTACAGTGTTATCAAAAGCGCACAAGCAGTTCTCACGACAGAATGAAAACACAGCTTCTCCATAGCTGGGGTATTATGGATACAAAAAAAAAACAAACAAGACCGTATATTTGTTATCTTCTTGCCACACACAAGCTGTATCGGCCTAGGTACCACTACAATTTAATTAGGGAAATAACTGTAATCGATTTATAAATCTACCCTTTTACAAATGCGTGATTTTTTTATGCGACCATCTGAGCTGGGAAACTGCTAAAATGTAAGACTGACTAAGAGTAACAAGATATACTGAAATAGCTGTGCTAGTTTTTAGTCTGTTCCCTTAAAACTGTGTGTGGGAGACTGAGATTGTTAAGGGTGGAGAGGGGTCGTGTCGTGTCGTGTTGGCATTAGAGCCGTCCTTCCCTTCAGACTGTGTTTCAAGGAGGCGCTACCCGGATAGTGCAGGATGCGTTGAAATGTTGTACATTGTGTATAAAACTCGCTTGAATATGAGGTAGTACGGCCGTATCCAGGGGCAGTAACACTGCATCTCAAGGGCACAGCGGTGCTTCACACACCGGCTTTGTTTGTCGTGCTGTTAGACTGGAACCTGGGTGGCCATTAGGGGAAGGGCTGGGGGATTTTAAACCGACGTCTCTTACTATTATTATCCTCAAGGAGCAGACTAGCAACAACATTAAACTGGGGAGTCTCCAGTCCCGGAACTGGAGAACCCTAATCGATTTAATCAATTATATTATTATGTTATATATGGCCAGCACCCATATCACTCTGCAACTCACAACTAGCAACTCACTGAAGCTCAGCAGGTGTGAGCCTGGTCAGTACCTGGATGGGAGACCTCCTGTGAAAAACTAAGGCTGCTGCTGGAAGAGGTGTTAGTGGGGCCAGTAGGGGGGGCTCACCCTGCGGTCTGTGTGGGTCCTAATGCCCCAGGTTAGTGACGGGGACACTGTACTGTAAAAGGGCGCCGTCCTTCGGATTAAACATAAATCGAGGTCCTGACTCTCTGTGGTCATTAAAAATCCCAGGGTGTTTCTCGAAAAGAGTAGGGGTGTAACCCTGGTGTCCTGGCCAGATTTCCCCCCTGGCCCTTGCCAGTCATGGCCTCCTAATAATCTTCATCTCTGAACTGGCTTCATTACGGTGTCCTCCTCCCTACTGAGAGCTGGTGTGTGGGGAGCAGACTGGAGCATCATCCAGGTGGGGCTGCACACTGGTGGTGGTGGAAGGGAGTCCCCGTTACCTGTAAAGAGCTTTGAGTGGAGTGTCCAGAAGAGTGAGAAGATGATTATTGTTATGATTGAATTTTGACTGGCCAGGAAGGATAGTTTTCACTTCACTTTTTGCCCCATGCTCCTGAAATCGGCTCCAGGCTGTGCTCCTGAGAAAGGCTTCGGGCTGTTCTCTGGAATACACTCTGGGTAGCTGCTCCTCTTACCACAAATCCTGTGTTCATTCCACAGGGTCGTGCTTCTGCAGGCTGCTCGGTTTGCAGACATTGAGGAGAAGTCCAGACTGCTGTATGAAAAGGCAGCAGACATCGAGGGCCTGAGCAACGAAATCAGTGAAATCTCCAGAAAGGTAATTTTCTTCCTCCATTAGGCTGGCTCCAGAAGCCCAGCCGCCTTCATGCTTGGTGTGGAAGGTGTTGAACATGTTTAACACTTCAGGAGGCTGGAGGAGAGGCTGCGCTGTACGAGAACAGACCCACTAGAAAGCTTTGGACTTCATGAGAGGGAGTTTAGCTTCAAGGTGTTTTTTAGTTTAGTTACTGGAGAAACTCCACACATTTAAATCAGTTTTTGAGCCAGGACTCTGTATGTGATTTTATTCCTTTTTATTTAAAACCAAATGCATAACATGAGGCGGACATTCAAGTTTCTGAATTGACTAACAGCTGATTGATTCTACAATATAGGTTCTGTTTCTCAGAAACCCTGACGACCGCTAAGCTGGATCTTTTGCATGTGATCTGATGTAGCCTTACGTGTGTTAAGACATCTCAGTGCTGGATGATGATGAATCGCGAAGGACATGATGGCATTAAAATAGACAACGCCTGTTTTATGTTGTGGATGCAGCTGGACGCCTCAGAAGAAGACCTCCAGGGGGCGCTCTCCTCCATGTCTTTGGTGGCCAAGATGGATAAGGATGTCTCAGGCCTGCGCAGTGTTATTGCTGCCGTGCAGGGGGGCGAACAGTTCGTGTCGCAGAACATGCAGAGCATCAACAGGAGCTTCCAGAATGCGACGGACGTCTGGAGGCGGAGCCTTGAGGGAATCACCCAGGACATCGGGAATCTGAAGTCGGACTCCAAGGCCCTACACAACCAGGTGACCGCAAAGATAAACAAAGCGGAAAAGACAATGAGGTCCATCTCGGAGAAGCTGGAGGAGCTGGAGGACAGCACCAAGCAGAACGCCAGGGCGCTGGAGCGCACGGAGAGTGAGGACGTGGAGGGCGTGGAGGAGCAGGTGAGGTGGAACCGCAGGGAGATCGAGAGGCTGGAGGAGCAGCACCAGGCCCTGGGCAGCAGGGGCCGCGAGCTGAGTGCCAAGATCGCCGAGTACCAGCCCCGCGCCCGGCAGTGCGAGGAGCAGCTGCCCGTGGTGGAGGACGCCGTCCGCTCCATCCTCAGGGTGTCCTCTGAACTGGCCGGCCTGGAAAAGAGGGTGGAGGACCTGACTGTCCAGGTCTTCAACATGGAGGACAACATGCTCAAGGTCGTCTCCGAGATCTTGGAAATCAAGACCGCTCTGGATGCCCTGGAGGTGGACAACAGCATTCTCAAACTGAGAAACGAGCTGGGTGTTATCAAGGAAAAGGTGAGAGAGTTCGAAAGGGCCAGGAGGGAACCACATTCAGAGGAGCAGAGCAGAGAAGGAGCCGTGGAAAACTGACCAAGGACAAGCACGATCAACCTGGTTTCTACTGGTTACCCGGAGGACAAGTACAAGAGCTTTTTGTGGTTATCACAATTTATCACAACCACCATAAGCAGAGTTGCACTGTATATGCAATATATGTGCTTGTCATAGTGTAGCCTCAATCACAGCTGAGCAGCAGTCATTTTGCTGTGCAGTGTCTTCTTTCTAATAAGAAAATATCACTGGTGTATGAATGTATTGCTCACAAACTGCAATTAGCTTTTTTTTTTTACATATTTGCCTATGTACCAGTTTGTAAAACTTTATTTAAAGTCCACAAAAAGTTCGGCAATTGTGTCAGAATCATTTTGGATCTGTGAATTAAAGGTGAATGAATATTACATAGAATTTGCATGGCCAGCTGTTAGACAGGCTGAGCAAGACTGCAGTCTCTCAGTGTTGGAGAGGGAGGGAGACAATCATTCAGGACTGGGGTGCTGGAAAAACACTTGCAATTCCAAAGGACCATCGCATTTGTGTCAAAATAAGCCTCACAGCATAGATATCAGATGTTATTCTAAGACTAATTTAGAGTACAAGTCTCAGTTGTAATTTCTCAGGTCGTCATCTTAAGAGGGACTTGTATTGTTACATTGAATGTCTGGGCCAAAAGTTTAAAAGTGTTTAATAGCTGCTGGCTGTCCAGTCAGACTGTACACTGAATTTCAACTTAAGCCCTTTGTGAGATTCTTGAGGAATACTGTGATGACATCAAATCCTGTAAAGCTCAAATAAAATGTTTTTCCTAATTTTGTCTCTCTCTTTTCAGCACAGAGAATTCATCCATTGTGTGTTTTCAATTAGTAATAATTCCTTGCATTTTGTATAGTTAATTTCTCCCAAAAGATTCCGCGTAGACACTTAAAATACAACAGGAGTTTACCCCCACTGACATGCTGCTCCACCTGGGAGACACACAGCACTGCACTGCACTGCAGGTCAGGGGGAATGAGAAACTGTTTCACCTCAGTTTAAAGTCTCGCACGAAGGATGTAACCTCCTACAGCACAGTGTCCCAGGTCACCTGAGACATCGATTTGGAATTTCAGGTCAGATGGAAGAGCACCTCCTACTGGTCCACCAACACCACTCACAGCAGCATCGTGGTTTTCCTCAGATGTCTGTCTTACTACTGATCAGCTCAGCCTTGCTCAGCTCCTGGGATCTGAGGAGAACAGGTTACAGGAAGACAGCAGCTGTTCTGTTAGGTTTCAAGATTATTTTAGTCTTTTGTGGTTTATCAGTGAAGTGTCTTCTTTTCTAAAATTGCATTATGGAACGGTTATCTGTACTTTATATTCTTTTTCCGTTTGTTTTTTTACTTTAAAGTGCCTTCTCTTTTCTCTCCTCTCGATGAAGTTTGAAAGTGCCCAGCACCTTCTGACCAAGCTGAAGGGCCAGGCCAAACCGCCCGACATGGAGAAACTGAAGCAAGACATCGCCCAGCTGACAGAGTGGTCAGCGAGCCTCACGGCGAAGAGAGAGGCGTCGGAGGAGAACCTGTCTGCGCTGTCTCGGGCCGTGGCGCAGATCGAGCAGAAGACGGCCTCGATCACGAAGGACGTGGCTGTGAAGGTGTCTGCTGTGAAGACGGACCTCAGGAGGATGTCCGGGCTGGAGTCGGAGGTCGAGGCCTTGTTATCGTCCGCCCAGCAGCTGGGGGAAAAGGTCAAGCAGGCCGAGAAGCAGATGGTCCAGAAGATCGGGGACCTCCTCGTCGGCAGCATCGCCCGAACGTCCGAGCTGAAAAGCTCCTCCGAGAGGAACTCGGACAAAGTGGACCTTCTCAAGCGGAAGCTTGCAGAGCTGAAGGAGGAAGACGCCAGGCTTTCAGAAAGGCTTTTAAACCTGGAAAGTGGGCGTGCCAGGCTTCTGAAGACCGTGACGTTCGCAAGCGACCTGAAACCCAAAGTGTTTACCATGAGGAAGGACTTCTCTCTGCTGGAGCCCCGCGTGTCAGACCTCACCCTGAGGATCGGCAGGCTGGCCTCAGACATACTGGAGAAGGAGCGGGAAATCGCTCTGCTGAAAGACACCTTTTCTAACTTGACAGTGGTGAAATCAGACCTCCAGCGTGTAAAGCAGCAGCTCACTGAAGTGCGAGAAGTTAGCGACATGTTTGCTCAGGGAAATCAGCCTGGTGAATAAACTCTTATTTCAGCATCGCGTTTTAAAAAACGGCAAAGAGCTGAGCTCAAGAGAGCTTTTGTCTTCTACTCAGTTCTGCTCCAATTTCTACACTAAGAAAGGGCAAGTTATGGTGTGTGTTAGTGCTAGTCAGCTAAACGAGATCGATTTAGATTGGCCTTCAAACAGTTTTATTGATTGGTTAGGTTTCAGGTTGAAAATGGTCCGAATTAAAACCTTTTCTTTAGATCCAAGACTGTTTTGTATTTTGGGTTTTTGATAGAATGTAGAATGAATTTAGGTGTGTTCCGTAGGAAATAGCATAATGGTAAAGCGTTTTTTTAGAATCAAATCTAAATCTGAATGATTCTAATAGGTTTTGCACATCACATTACAGCAACAAATTATGAATGTGTGAACTGTTTGACGAGAGAAATATACTGATTTAAGAACTAATGGGCTGTGGATGTACTGTTTTGATTTAATTTTAATTTGGTCTTCATGCCTTGTGCCTGTGGCTTGCTGGGATAGGTTCTGGCTCCCCGATGATCCTGACTTGGATGAAGAGGTTAGAAAATGGGTGGATGGGGTTAGTCTTAACCACAGGTGGCTCTGTGGCTCAGGATCTGTGCCTGTGGCTGGAAGGTTGCCGGTTTGTATCCCGCGGCCGGCAGAGGAATCCTACGCCCTTGGGCCCCTGAGCAAGGCCCTTCACCCCAGCTGCTCCAGGGGCGCCGTATAAATGGCTGACCCTGCGCTCTGACCCCCAGCTTCTCTCCCTGTCTGTGTCTCATGGAGAGCAAGCTGGGGTCTGTGAAAAGACAAATTCCTAACACTAGAAATGGAATATGGCCAATAAAGGGAGCTTCTCTTATTCCATTTTAAGACAATGTCAAAAAACGATATGTTAAAATTGTACTATGCACCGAGGATTCATCATTTTGAATACTGTTGAATGTTACAAAAAACATTTTGCTGCCCAGGAATCAGTCCAGAGAAGTGCAGTGTCCCACACTGACAGGCTGCATTAGCAGAACCTTGAAGTGAAAAAAAGAGGACGAGGGAATCTGATCAAGGAATTCAAAGACCTCAAGGGTTTTGTCAGTCCTGTGGATTTATTCTGAATCAAAGTGAAACACAAAACTATATGGATGTGCTGTACATTTTAAACCTAAAACAGGAGGCACTTCTTTATACAAAGGGGTAGGACCCTCGTTTAGCTTTTAACTTCCAGACAAGCGAGGGGGACAGACTGGCCTTCTCTCCTCTGTAGACTTCTGCAAGTTCTCGCCTACTACTGCAGTAAGCAGTCAAGTGCGTCCGTTGGTACAACGAGAGGCCCATGTAATGCAGACAGTGGTTAGTACTGTATGTTCTTTTCACTTCAGATTATTGGCAGGAGTTTTGTCGTCCCATTCAGAATGTGATTTGTACTGTATTCAGATTTCTGATTTGAATGGGAGTGGGAGGGGAACTTTCTCTTACATACATTTCTTATAGACATTTCAGGGTTTTGGAAAAGGAAATGACTTGCGCCAAGAGTTTAGGCAGCTTTATTGGTTCAGTAATTTGGCAGACACTTTTATCCTAAGACACATTTATATCCATCGGTCGGGGGTACAGCAGAAGGGCCTCTCCCGGGTTTCAAACCTACAGCCTTCAAGGTCTCAGTCCAGAACACCAGTCCTCCTCTCGGCCCTCAGCTTCCCCACTGCCCCAGTCTGAGAGCAGCCAAGCTTGTTGGGCACTGACCTGAGACTGGATGTCGGCCTCTGGCAGGAGTATTAGAAACAACTGCCTGTTGTAGACAGCAGCTCAGAGGCTCTGTCTGCTTGAGGTGCCTTAACTCAGAAGACGGGAAACGTTTCTGCCCCAAATGCAGGATGTTGCTCTGCCCCTAAATTCAAACCAAACGATGATTCACAAACATCATGTGAATGGAAGAACTTGGAAATTGTTTGTAAAAGAGTAGGTGGAAAGGTTTTATTCCTGGATTTTCCTTGACTGTTCTAGACTGATATTCAAATCCCCAGAACTTCTGTGTGAGAAGGGTAGAGAGGTGAAAGTCATTCCTATGACTATCCTGTGATATTAAAGTGAAAGTAATACAGGTGATATTCTGCACTCTGATGTACATCTGTGTTGGGCTTTATTGAAAACGGCCTTAATGAAAACAGTGAAATGGGTTACACAAGGAATAATGCATTATGGCTGAATAAATGAATAAAATATATCGAAAACGAATGTTAAAACCTGATTGATGAAAAATATATTTGACTGTTGTTTACTATGTGTTTCAAATGTCAGCTTTTTAATTATTGTATGTTGAATCCAGGTTGTGAAGTTATGCCAACGCACACACTACGGTTGTGTACGTGTCGCATGTCATTGCTGTGCAGCCTGTCCTGACACAGGGCTCTCAGCAGCCCACTGTTCTCAGCGTGGAGAGGGGCTGTGACTTGACTAATCGGGATTCTGCTTTTGGGGTACCACACCCCGAACGAACTTCCTCTGTCACCGCGTACAGCGATCTCCCCAGGTTCCTCCCCGCCCGCCTGCCACGTAGCACTGCAGTCATCAGACACTCAGCAGCCGTCACCCCCCATGACATTACTGCCCCCTGGGCCTCCTCGAATGACATGGCTGTAGGAGAGAGTACACTGGCCATGAGCTGGTCCACAGCTTGATCTGAAATGGTGTTATGCCACTGGACCGCCTGAATAGGAGCATTACTTGGAGATGTATTTTGACTGGAATGAGATGTAAATATCTAAATAATTATAATGCAAGATACTTTAGAAAAAGGTTGTCTTGGCCTGGGAGACTTGTGTGTCTGCTGTTTTTTTTTTCTTTAAATTTTCCAACACCTGAAGAACTGGAAGAACCCATTAAACTGGACAGCCCTGCTACAGACACACTGACCCTCCAGGACCGGGACTGGACAGCCCTGCTACAGACAGACTGACCCCTCTGGGACTGGGACTGGACAGCCCTGCTAGACTGGGGCTCTCCAGGACTGGGGGTAGGGACCCCAGGCCTAAATGTTCCCATTTTGGCATGGTACCTTCCAAAGATAATAAAAGGAATATAAGCTACTCTTGAGCTACCCCAGCCCCAGTCCGTAGGAACACTGTCTCTATCCTGCTGCTGGAAGAGGTGTTAGTGAGGCCAGCAGGGGGCGCTCACCCTGCGGTCCACGTGGGTCCTAATACCCCAGTATAGTGACGGGGACACTATACTGTAAACGGGCACCGTCCTTCGGATGAGACGTAAAACTGAGGTCCTGACTCTCTGTGGTCATTAAAAAATCCCAGGGCGTTTCTCGAAAAGAGTAGGGGTGTAACCAAATTTCCCATTGGCCCTTACCAATCATGGCCTCCTAATAATCCCCATCTCTGAGCTGGCTTCATTACTCTGTTCTCCTCCCCACTGAGAGCTGATGTGTGGTGAGTGTTCTGAAACAAGTCAACCAAAAGTCTAAGCTTCAAGATCAATGAAAAATCGCCAGTTAGCAGTGGGGATTCAGAGAACAGCTAAGCTAGAACACAACCAAACAGTGGTGCCGCAGGACAGGGCTATCCAGTCCTGCAGGGCCAG